CTCAGCCCCCGGCTGAACCCCCATCTCTCCCTGGCGAGTGCATGCATCCTCTGGCAAAAGGTAAAAAAGAAAAAGAACAGAACAATGTAGAAAACCAGAAGAAAAAAAAAACCTATAATCCCACCACCCAGAGCTCACTGCTATTCACATTTTGGCATATTTTCGGCCAATCTCTTCCACTAAAAATTTCATGTAATGATAACACTGCATGTATAATTTTACATTCAGCTTTTTTTCCCCACTGAGGTTCCTATGGGACTCTGAAAACTCTGCCTACGTGTATAATATTACCCTTTCTCCAGCAGGAACTCATTTATCTGTCAAAGGATAATGGGATACTGAAAAGCCTGGTCACAGTTTAATTCCAGGGGTTTGGAGTCTTTGGGGTCTGTTTTATCAAGGTTATTTTGAAAATATTTTCTTGCCAAAAAGCTGTACATACTTTCCTCTGCGTGTTTACTTGGCTCTAGAAACACCACCCCTGAAATGATGTCTGGCCGTGTTCTGTCACACATGCCAACACCAATACATGCAAATATCTGCATTTGAAATAAGATGCACACTGAACGTGCCTGTCCTAAAAGAGACTTACTCCAAAGCAAAAGTAAAATTGGACTGTATTTAAAAAGTCATAATTGAACAGAGAGATTCAAAGCTGATGGCGATAAAGCCCTCCTCCTCACCCCACATTCCACATTCTGAGAGGCTGAGTCTAGGCCACTTCTTTCTTTCTTTCTTTGGAGAGGTTTTTGGTATAGGGCGCGTGCACTTGCCAGAAAGACAGAGAGACAGCAAACAAGAAATCATCCCCCAGAGAGGATGGCCATGCCACAATTCCTTCTCCTTCACTCTCCTCTTGGGATCTTGGGCATGCACACACACATGCCCAGCATGAGTTTAAGCCACCGGGCCCGAGACTCGAACTGTGGTCAACTGCATGAGAGTCCAGCAACATAGCCAATACGCCAACTGCTAGTCTCCATTTCTTTCTTTTTTTAAAAAAAACTGTTTTTCTTCTTTAATTGCCAGAGGGTGCATATGCTTACCAGAGAGACAGAGAACCCCTGAAGAGGTATGGTCATGCCACAATCTCCTGTCCAGCTCTCTATCTCATCAGGATCTTGGGCATGCACACATACACATGCCCGGTGTGGTTTGCAGGACTCGAACTGCAGTTAGCCATGTGGGATCTGGCTAAGGCACAAGGCTTAACCACCATGCTACAAGACCAGCCTAGGCAATTTCAATTTTTGAGCTATTTCTCACATGGTTTTTACTCAGCTTTGGCTAAATGATACTGTGCAAAAACCACTCTCCCTTCTTTAAAGCCAGGCAAAGGTTTGCTGTACACCAAGGCAGGAACCCACAGCAGGCCCACGTCAGCTCCCTGAGGCTCACACGCCAGTGGGAATGTCACGCGGGCTACTGCGTGGGGGAGTGGGCTTGAGGAGGCGACATGCTCTGGAATGACTGCACACTGGGGCCTCATCTCCACACCACCAAAGGCCCGGCTTCTGTCCAAGTGCAAAGAAAATGCTATTAAAACCCGCAACTGAAACCAACCAAACTCATCAATGAGGAAAACTCACTCTCTGCCAATACTCTATCTGGAGATTTAAGCTGGTCTTACTAAAATTAAAATTAAAGAGAGCGCATATATCTAATGCACGGCAAATACGGCAACTACGGCAATGACATAAAGGTCTACAGATACTCTGCTCGATTCTTCGGGAAGGAAAACAAGGCACTCGAGCTTTCAGGAGTGCGGTGGGTAATGTTCAAGTCTGGGCTGTATGGATGCTGTTTTCTGAAGTCTGATCAACAAAAGGTAGTTTTGGAAAGAAAAGAAGCCACAGTCCTCTTGGCGTGTGTGGAAAGATCAGAGGCCACTCAGAGGAAGTGAAGATCAAGATCGCCAGCTCACCAATGGCAGGACCAGTCAGTCCCTTACCCCTGGCTGAGCTGGTCTGAAGCCAAGCACTCTGGCTCAGGTTTGTTTGTTTTAAGAGAGGAGGGAGGGAGGGACGTCCTCGACAGCATCTCATCAGTCCAAGTCCCCTTCCCCCAGACCTCCAGCTAGTCAGGATCTTGGCATGTGAACGTGGCATGTTTCAGGCCAACTCTGGATCCAAACCCACAGTCGGCTCTGTGGCTTCTAGTCCTTGAGATCAGTTTACTATTGCCTGTGCCAAAGCAGCTGGGGCTTGGCTCGGATGTAAAGGACTTGACGTTTCCAGTCAAATCCAAGGATACAAACCCGATGGTCTCCAGTGATCCGTAGAGCTTGACAACCAGCCCACCAAGGGAAGGCACGCTCAGCATTCCGGGAACTTCCTACGGTGCTAAAATGCCTCTAGGACACTCTGGACATGCCCAGCACTGGCTGAGAAAGACTGGGCAGCCCATCCCCATTCCACTATGGCCATCAAGTTAGGGACATTTAAAATCACAGAGATTCAGAAACGCATATTTATGAGAATAAAATTAAATTGGAAAAGTCTGAGTCTCGGGCCAGCAGGTGGTATGGTGGTTAAGGCGGCTGCATGGTTAAGCCCGGATCTAGTAGCTTGAAAACACGCAGGACGCAGGTATGTGTGTACCTAAAATTCCAAGAGGAGAATGGAGGAGAAGGGATTGTAGTGTGGCCATCCTCCCTGGGGTGATTTCTCACTTTCCCCCTCTCTCTTCCTCTAGTGAGCACAGGTACCCTACAGAAAACTAAAAGCTAAAACAGACACCCTCACTATGAAATGCTGATCTGCAATGCTGGTGATGCAGCCTGGATTTCTGAAGAGACTCAGAGTCTGGCTCCACCCACATGGACAATTCTAGCAATCCATGTAACCACTCCTAATCTTTGAGAAAGACAATACACCAGCATCCTGTGGTTCCGGTGAAGACATGGCCCAGGAGAAAGGGACTCTGGAGGCAAGGGAACTATTAATTGCACATCATGTGCTTGTTCTCAAAAGGTATTTTTAGAGCCACTAATCAACTGCTTAGAGTACGAATTTAGCTCCTTTGCTAATTTCTACTTCTTTAAGGTTCAAACAAATTTTTTTAGTTAAGAGATAGGGAGAGACATGGTGGTTAAACCACTGGATCCTACATGGTCCACTGTGTGGTTTGAGTCCTGGACTAAGTGGATTCAAAAACGCACCGGGCACATGTACATGTGTGCTCAAAATCCCCAGAGGAAAATAGAGGAGAAAGGATTGTGGTGTGGCCATCCCGGCAAGGGATGATTTCTCACTTTCCTTCATTCTGTCTCTCTTGGGCGAGAGCACGTACCCTACAAAATCTTAAAATATAAAAAACAAAAAAGGAAAATC